CCTCACAAGTACCAGGCACGGTGGCAGGGAGAGAAGGCTGTATCTGTGTCACTTTTCCAAATCTGTGTGCATCGGTTACTGAGAACTGACCGTCACAGACCCCAGGGAGAGACAGACGGGGTGCTGTGTGGCTGGGTTTGAGGAGCTCATGGAAGTGGGGAAGGAGGACAGGCCTGCCCTGCCCTGCCCCAATCCCGGCCTCTGGCGGCAGGTGTCTGTGTAATTCAGTGTCACTTTGCCTATACGCACTCCTGCGCTAGGACTGGGAACCACCTGGTGACATGATAGCACTCAGCACCCAGGGCGTGGGGACCGTCCTCCGACTCTCAGTTAGGGGTGTGGGGTTGAGTGCAGAGCCAGGCATGGGCGGCCTTTGTCCTGGTAGAACCAGAGTTGGCCCTTTGTGCCAAACACACCCTGCGGGACCGTCTGTGTGACACACGGTGTCACACACGTGCTTCGTTCCAATGTACCATGTATGATACATGTGTGTGACACACATACACACAGTGAGAGTGCCAAACACACCCTGCGTAACTGTGCGAGACACAGTGTCACATGGGCGCTTCATTACCATGTACCATGCATGAGACACACGTGTGACACGCATGTACACACAGCACTTGAGTGACAAGCCCCCCGCTGGAGCACCAGAACAGTAAGACCCGCCTTCACTCAGTGTTGCTGGCAGCGGGAGCAGGTCGGCGAGGCCCCACGACCGCCCCCGAAGGGCGTTGGGGAGGGTGTTGGCGTGGCGGGCAGGAGGCCGCCATCCTCTGGTGGCCCGGTGCTCCGTGCCGTGGGTGGAATCTGAGCCGAGCGTGCAAGTCCCCTCACTGCCAGACACAGGCGCCGCCGGCGGGTCTCGGTGCTGGGTGACGCGCAGGCTCCCCTCGCCCCGGCCTGGCCAGCGCCGCGCCGCTCACGCCCGCCGCGCCGCCTCCTGCACTGCCGTGTAATGCGCGGCTTTCATGGCAGCGCGGACCTCCCCGGACGTCGGCACGGAGACCACCTGGGAAATAAGAGTTGTGGCTCGCATCCGCCCCGCCACGGACACGGGGGTGCTGCTTGCGCTCTGGGCGCCCGACCACCGCGTCGTGCCCCTGTCTGTGGCCCTGGTCGACTACCACTCCTCGAAGAAGCTCAAGAAACAGGTACGGCGGCCCCTGCACGGCTGCACCCCTGCCCGCCCGCTCTGTCCCCAGCCACAGGGTCTGTCCCAGCCCCAGACGCCCCCGGCCAGAGGCCCCAGCAGGCGAGCCTGGCGCAGTCGCTCCGAGTGGCCGGGTCTGACACCGGCCAGCGCCTGTGGGCCGCGCTCGGGCGTGGGCTCCCCATACAGCGGGAGGCGCGGCGGTTTGGCACGATCTACCTGTGTGGTCAGACAGCGTCACTAGCTCCCTGCTCCCTGGAAAAGTCGCTCTGCGGGCACCCACTGCCCCCAGCGGCGTCTGTCCCCAGGCAACCCCAGCCCCACACGCGCCAGCGGCCAGGGACGTTCAGGTCCCAGCTGGGTGCCGGCTCTGCTCTCTCTGCTCTGGGCAGAGGAGGAAACTCAGGTCTGACCAGGATCAGCTCCCCTGTCCCCCTGCCCTCTGGTCACCTGGCTGGACCCCGAGGGGGCCCAGGCCTGTCACCTCCAGACCCAGTGCCAGCACCTGGAACTGGGTGGCAGGTTCCCACGTGTGCCTGGCTGGGAGCTGGGCAGCCGGGCCGCGGTGCCTCGAGCCGCACAGCCCGGCCACCCCACTGGCGTCCTCTAGGCTGTGTCCAGGCCCATGTCCGACCCCCCTGCCCCTGGCTGTGTCCGCTCTGCAAGCGCCTCCCGGCCAGCCGCTGGCTCCGGGCGGAAACTGAGGCAGGCGGGTGGGCAGTCGCCCACGGTTGGCAAGCGCAGAACTGGGCTCCACCCTGCACACTCTGACCCTGCCCCGGTGTCCCTGCAGCTGGTGGTCCTGGCGGTGGAGAGCGTGGCCCTGGCGCTGGTGGAGATCAAGGCGTGTGACGGGCAAGAACATGTGGTCTCTGTGTCCCTGCGGGAGGGGACGGCCGCCCTGGAGGTGGACGGCACGCGAGGCTGGAGCGAGGTTGGCGCCACGCAGCTGAGGGAGAGGCTGGACACGCTCGGACGGCACCTGCGGGGCCCGGTGCTCACCTTTGCCGGGGGACTGCCAGGTAGGGCCGGCCCACCCTCCCCGGGCGATCCCAGACAGGGCTGGGTCTCTGTCCTGTGCGGGGCTGTTTCAGGGGAGCTGGCCGGGCCGTGGGGAGGCCTCGGGGTTGACGGTGTCGGTTTAGCGGCCCGAGCCAGCCACCACCTCTCATGTCCCTCCCAGCCACCAGCCCAGCGGGGGGAGGCCTCGGGGTTGACGGTGTCGGTTAAGCGGGGCCAGGCAGGGCCGTGGGCAGTTAACAGAGGAACCGCCGGCCCCTGCTGCATCCACAAGGATGTCCGGCTCGTCCTGCCATCTCACACAAACCCAGGGTGGGACCCGTGTCTAATTAAGAACGTCCTCAGCCAGGCGCAGTGGCTCACACCTGTAATCCTAGCACTCGGGGAGGCTGAGGCGGGCGAATTACTCAAGGTCAGGAGTTCGAAACCAGCCTGAGCAAGAGCCAGACCCCATCTCTATTAAAAATAGAAAGAAATTAATTGGCCAACTAAAAATATATAGAAAAAATTAGCTGGGCATGGTGGCGCATGCCTGTAGTCCCAGCTACTTGGGAGGCTGAGGCAGGAGGATTACCTGAGCCTAGGAGTTGGAGGTTGCTATGAGCGAGGCTGATGCCACGACACTCTAGCCCAGGCAACAGAGTCAGACTCTGTCTCAAAAAACAAAAACGTCCTTGCCCAAGGCCAGGAATCACCAGGTGGTGCTGACAGGTAGACGGAGCCAGGAGCTTTGCACCCCACTCAGCACAGGCCTTAACTCGCCATGGATGGCGGGATCTGTCCAGCTACCAGACTCAAGCTCCACCTAGTCTTAGCAAACAGAGCTTTGGAGAGGGTCACAGCAGGGAAGCCCTGCAGTGGGGTGACTCCTGGGCCCAGAAGGGGACCACGTTCGGTCCCAGCTCTGCGCCCCTGAGGCCGGCCCTGCCCCGTCCGAGGGAGGGTGGTGGACAAGACGAGAGGGAACGGCGCCCTGCAGGAGCTAGGCGGTAAGCGAGCGCTGAGCCCCGCCCGTTCTCTCCCGCCCGGCCCAGACGTGCCTGTGACCTCGGCGCCGGTCATAGCGTTCTACCGCGGCTGCATGACGCTGGAGGTGAACGGGAGGGCCCTGGACCTGGACGAGGCCGCATACAAGCACAGTGACATCTCCTCCCACTCCTGCCCGCCGGCCGAGCCCGGCACACGCTAGGCCTGCGCGGCTCTCCGCCACCGGGACTCCTCACGCACTTCCGCAACGACCCGGAGGTGAGGACGGGGCTCGGGGCCCCCAAGACCTGCCTCCGGCTGTAAATACTGTACATAGCGAGACTGGGGTCTGCAGCCCGCACCCGCCACGGGTCCGGGAGCCCACCCTGCGCGGGAGGCAGGGCAGATTCGAGGAGCACAGCGCTCTGTTATTTTTATTACCAGATGCTTCTTTCTGACTGTAAACGTGGAGAATAAAATATTTACAGAAAACTTTACGCTATGTTCGGCATCATCTGCTCCTGGTGGGTTTTTAGCGCTCACAGCTTTCGGGGTAAGCGGACCCACGGTGCCCCCGCTGGCTGGGCCTGGTCTGCTGCCTGGGGGTCCCCAACATACGAGGTGGCCTGGGACAGGGAGGGGTGCCTGGCCCCCTTTGGGCATCTGCTCACAGCCTGGGCGGGCGGGAGCCTCAGGCAGGAGAGGCCGGGCCGCTCCCAGGCGGCGTCTCTGAGTGTGAGGAGCTGCCCAGCAGGCGGGAGGACTATGGGCACAGCACCGGACACACTCTCTGTCCTCCCGGACAAACCCACTGCCTGGGCCCCAGGTGCTATTTACGAAGCAAAGTCCAGGCCGGGTGCGGTGGCTCACGCCTGTCATCCTAGCACTCTAGGAGGCCAAGGCGGGAGGACTGCTCAAGGTCAGGAGTTCGAAACCAGCCTGAGAAAGAGCCAGACCCCGTCTCTACTAAAAAAATAGAAGGAAATGAATTGGTCAACTAAAAATATATAGAAAAAACCAGCCGGGCATGGTGGCGCATGCCTGTAGTCCCAGCTAGTCGGGAGGCTGAGGAAGGAGGATCGCTTGAGCCCAGGAGTGTGAGGTTGCTGTGAGCTAAGCTGATACCACAGTACTCTAGTCTGGGCAACAAAGACTCTGTCTCAAAAAAAAAAAGAAACAAAGTCAAGTCTGGCCTAGAACGTGCTAGAAGCAGGGGACGCTTTGGTGAATTGCTCTGTGCCTCGGTCTCCTGGTCTGTAAGGGGGGCACAGTGGTCCCGGGTGCTCTTTGGCCCCAGTGGGCTGCGACTCCCCACAAAAGGCCGTGGAGATGCACCCCTGCCTGGGCCTGGGGCCATGGAGGGTGGTGGCCGCAGAGGCCTGGGGAGGACTGGTCCCCGAGAGGAACGCCGGCTCTCAGCAGGTGGGCACCTCTGTGGGGGCCACTCGAGAACCGGCGCAGGCTCCCAGCGCCACACTGAGATTCCACTATTTTTTTTATTTTTTATTTTTTTGAGACAGAGTCTCACTCTGTTGCCTGGGCTAGAGTGCCGTGGCGTCAGCCTCGCTCACAGCAACCTCAAACTCCTGGGCTCTAGAGATCAACCTGCCTCAGCCTCCCAAGTAGCTGAGACTACAGGCATGCGCCACCATGCCTGGCTAATTTTTTTTCTCTATATTTTTAGTTATCCAGCTAATTTCTTTCTGTTTTTAGTAGAGATGGGATCTCGCTCTTTCTCAGGCTGGTCTCTAACTCCTGACGTCAAGCGATCCTCCCACCTTGGGCTCCCAGAGTGCTGGGATTACAGGCGTGAGCCACCGCGCCTGGCCCGAGATTCCACTATTTTTAATTCCAACCCCCCGCACTGTTCTGGCTCTGCGCACTTTCGGATCTCGCTCAGCCCGCAGCCATTGGCGCTCTGACACCCGGTTAATCCCAGGGCCGCGTGGCAGGACCTGGCCACACACTGAGGGAGCCTGGCCGCGGATGTGGGTTCGCATTTCAGCCAGAGCAAGCAGGAAGGCTGGAGTCCTGGGGAGCCTGCCGTGTGCGATGGGAGAGCCTGGTGTAAGGCCGCTGCGGCAGCCAGCCCAGCATGGCGGGGAGAGGGTGTGGCCCCGCAGACCCTGGGCAGCCCCACCTGGCTTGCCTGACCTGGTGACATCGCCCTGCAGCCAGCAATGGCAAGCCCCCGCGCAGGGCCCGGCCTGCCTTGGGAAGGGTGGGGGCTGCGCCAAGATGCTCACTGTATCGGCAACGCCCTGCTGGAGGCCGGCAGCACAGGGCGCCTGCCCGAGGACTCACGGGTGTCCGGCCCTTTGACGGGCAGGTGAGGCAAACCCACCCCATGTCCGGGCCTCCTGTGGACCTGACAGCAGCTTTCTGACCCCCGGCCGTGTCCCATGGCCTGTGGGAGGGGACAGGCTGCATTTGCTCAGGCCGCGAGAGACACCTCCTTCCATTACTCTTCTTTTTCTAAACTTTTGGCAGCTTCAGGCCTTCAGAGAACTAGTTCAAGAGGTTTAGCAGTTAACTTTCCACATCGGTGCAAGAGGAAATAGGGATGCGGTATAAGTCCTTGGCCTCGGCACAAACCCAGACGGGCCACTGCCTTCAGAAAGGTCATCTGGAGCTCGTGGTGGCGGCTCTAGCCCAGCCTGTCCAGCGGCACCATGGACATCCCACAGGGAGGATGGTAGGGTATACGAGCTCGGGCCCCTGCACTGTCCCCAGGGCACAAGAGTGGCTAGTGGGAGGCCGGGCGTGGTGGCTCACGCCTATAATCCTAGCACTCTGGGAGGCCGAGGCGGGAGGATCGCTCAAGGTAAGGAGTTAGAGACCAGCCTGAGCAAGAGTGAGACCCTGTCTCTACTAAAAATAGAAAAATTAATTGGCCAACTAAAAATATATAGAAAAAATTAGCTGGTCATGGTGGTGCATGCCTGTAGTCCCAGCTACTCGAGAGGCTGAGACAGGAGGATCGCTTGAGCCCAGAAGATTGAGGTTGCTATGAGCTAGGCTGACGCCATGGCACTCACTCTAGCCTGGCCAACAGAGCGAGACTTTGTCTCAAAAAAAAAAAAAAAGAGTGGCTGGTGGGGCTGAGGACAGCAGGGCCCAGGGCTTGGGGCCGTGCAGATGGTCACAAGCTATCTGTTGTGGGCAGGAATGCTGCAACTCACAGAGCAGAGACCCTCTGCCCTCAGCCCTAGGGCAGCCGAGCACAGCTCTGAGTACACAGAACCCCATCCCAGGAAGTGCACAAGGAGAACTGCATGAGGCCTCCTGCAGCCCTGGGGCCCAGCGTGTGCAGTGGACCTGACAGCCCCTGGCGCCGCAGAACCCACGGGCCACACGGAGGTCACTCGGAACGCCTGGGAAAGGCTCCGCTGCAGCCGGCCCCTCCCACCAGCCACACTCTCCTGAGGGGACACCCGAGCTTTGGGGGCTGGACCACATGGGAGCTCGAGGGCGTGCAGTGTGGTCAGCGTCTACATCACACTCCCCACCCGCCGGGGGAGTTTCCCCTGCTCTGGGTGGGCTCTGACACCTGTTTCCTGGCATCATTTCCGCAGGCTCCCTGGGGCGCCGGCTTCATTCTGACTCCTGCCCTCGCCAGCTGACGGCTGCCCTCCCGGCCCATACCCCTGAGCAGGGTGAGAAAGGCCTGTCACCTCGGCCACCCTGTTGCTGTGGGCAGGGAAGCACAGGAGGAGGTGACCACGGCACCCCGATCCCTGACTCCAACAGCCCAGCCTGTGGAATGGGACAGGAGACAGGGGACAGGGGAGGGGACCTGCCCCTCCTCTCCCCACCACTCCCCAACTCCCGGGGCTGAACGCAGCCTGGGCTCCACAGCTGGGAAAACCCCCAAGGCACAAGCACCCCCAGGCCCCCACGAGGCCTCGCCAAGCCCAGGCTGCAAGCGAGCGCCCAGTGGGGCCGTCAGAGCCGAGTCCCAGCCAGGCCGTACCAGGCTCTGTCCCTGGGAAGTCTCAGGCTTGGTCAGAAAAGAATGCACCCAGCCACGCCGCAGCGTGAGTGGGCCAGAGCCCCATGCCGGCTGGGGACTGCCCCTGAGGCCTGGGAGAGCCAGGAGCCACCACCAGGCTGGGAGCCAAAGTGTCCACATTCTTTGCGGCTGGGGGAAGGACATTTTTGTGGGCACGAACCAAATTGTTGACCTTGGAGTCCAATATTTTTTAACAGCTTCTGGCTCTGGGCAAGTTGGAAAGCCCAGCCAGGGAAGACAAAGTCAGGTCTGGGGGTCGCTGGAGAAAGCAGTCTTGGAGAAACACCCCGGGGCCCCTGCCCCTCACATCTCTGGCCCCAGGTCCGCATGAGGGTGATGAAGGTGGCTCTTGTGATTTGGGTACCTGGTTGGCTTCCAGGGGTTTGGTGGTCACAGCTCCATGGGCAGAGGCCCCCTGCCCAGATCTGCTCCCAGGGCCAGCGAGAGCCCGTCTGGACGGCTCAGAGGCCAAGCCCAGAGTGCCCAGGACACAGAATCACCTGGGCCAGGCAGGTAACGCCCATGCAGACCTCCCCAGGCCTGACGATGAAGGGCTGACGCTCCACAGGAATCGCGGGGCCGGCTTTGCTCCTGGGAACTCTAGGAGCCTCTTACTCTTTGCTATTTTATTTACCGTGTTTCCCTGAAAATAAGACCTACCCATAAAATAAGCCCTAGCAAGGTTTCTAAGCATTTGCGCAATAGAAGCCCTACCCGGAAAATAAGACCTGGTGATGGGCGTGGCTACGCAGAGCGTCTGCACTGCCCATGCATGTAGTCTTGGAGCGGTAAAGAAGACCAGCAGCCCTTCTCATCTGCCTCATCGTGACAGCTACTATCCCAGAGGTGACCGGAAAGGTGCGGGCAGCCCCACCAACAAGGTCGGCTCCCCCTGTCAGGTCCCGGCCATCCTGTGAGCTCTGCAAGCTGAGGCTTTGCGGGGAACCCAGTACAGCTCCCTAGAAATCAGTGAGCACCCCAGAACCCAGTATAGCACCCCAGAACCCAGGGCAGCACCCCAGAGTCCAGTAAAGCACCCCAGAACCCAATATAGCACCCCAGGACCCAGTACAGCACCCCAGAACCCAGTACAGCATCCCAGAACCCAGTACAGCACCCCCGAACCCAGTACAGCACCCCAGAATGCAGTGCAGTACCCCAGAGTCTAGTACAGCACCCCAGAACCCAATATAGCACCCCAGAACCCAGTACAGCATCCCAGAACCCAGTACAGCACCTCAGAACCCAGGGCAGCACCCCAGAGTCCAGTACTGCACCCTAGAACCCAGAGCAACACCCCAGAACACAAGGCAGCAACCCATAATGCAGGGCAGTACCCCAGAACCCAGGACAGCACCCCAGAATGCAGGAAAGCACCCTAGAACCCAGGGCAACACCCCAGAACACAGTACAGCACCCCAGAGCCCAGACGTCACCCCAGAACCCAGTTCAGCACCCCATGACCCAGTAAAGTACCCCAGAACCCATTACAGCACCCCACAACCTAGTATAGCACCCCAGAACCCAGGGAAGCATCCCAGAACATAGTACAGCACCCCAGAATGCAGTACAGCACCCCAGAACCCAGGACAGCACCCCAGAACACAGTATAGCACCCCAGAACCCAGGGAAGCATCCCAGAACATAGTACAGCACCCCAGAACATAGTACAGCACTCCAGAATGCAGTACAGCACCCCAGAACCCAGGACAGCACCCCAGAACACAGTATAGCACCCCAGAACCCAGGGCAGCACCCCAGAACACAGTATAGCACCCCATAACCCAGGACAGCACCCCAGAATGCAGTACAGCACCCCAGAACCCAGGACAGCACCCCAGAACACAGTATAGCACCCCAGAACCCAGGACAGCACCCCAGAACACAGTACAGCACCCCAGAACCCAGGACAGCACCCCAGAATGCAGGACAGCACCCCAGAACACAGTATAGCACCCCAGAACACAGGCAGCACCCCAGGCCTGGTGCAGATAGCAGACACCGTGGTCCGCCAGCTGTGGTCCATGCACAAACATCCTGGCGCACTTCAGAGCACAGGTGAGAGTACCTGGGGCTCCCCAGTCTCGAATCACATTGAAGGTATCCAAAGTACAAGCCTGGCTTTCAGGAAGCGCTGGGCTTGCTCTCTGCCTCTGCAAGCAGAACCGACTGTGGGGGGCTGTGGGACTCGTCTTCAACACCAGTCAGCGGCAGCCAGGCTGTGGCCCGCGCCCGGCTGGCCTCTGCCCTCTCGAGCGCAGGGCGTGAGCTCCACCTTCCTTCCCAAACTGCCAGGGTGCCTGACAGCCCACCAGAAACAAGAACCTCCTCCTAAGCTCTGACACGCGATCTAGACAGGTAAACACGCTCGTTATTGGAACCGGATTCTCTTTGCACACATTACTGCTCATACGAGGTTTGACCAGGGACTGGGCACAGGCATGGCCTACCCAGGCCACACCCCCCGGCTCGCCCTAGCCTGGTCCTCAAGGCGCCCCTGGGACTACACTTGGCCCCCCAGGCTGAGCAGAGACCCCGAGTGTCGGGGGGGAGGGCCCTGCGGAGGCTCTGGTCACTGGGGACAGCCAGCTGGCCGGTCAAACTGGGAGCCGCAAAGGGAAGAGCGGTGATGGTGGGGAGGTTAGTGCTTGCGTGATGTCACCGTAGGTCTTCGAGCGCCACTTCAGCCAGGGGAACCGTTTCTGCTGATTTTGCTACTTCTGAGAATGTGCCCGCAGGCAGCCAAGCAATCCAGTGAGTTCGGCCTCTGACCTCATCACCTAACCCTAAAATTACTGAGGGCGCTGGCAACAGGGCCACCAACGGCATTCAGACCTCAGATTCCAAAGGAGCCTCGAGCTCAAGCCAGGCAGCCAAGAACCAGTCCTAGGGCCCAGGCCGCGCTCCCCACTGGAGTCCAGGCTCGGTCAGCGCAGAGGGGGAGCCCGGTCGCCTCCCTGGAAAACAGACCCGTGGGGCTGATGTGGGGGGTCCACAAACCAGTGGTGGCCCAGGCCTTTCCCGGGAGACAGGTGCCCCTGAGTTCCTGCTGGAGGAGCTGTCTTTCGGAAGACCAGTCTCAGCTCCTGGGTCCAGCCGCCGAGAGTTCTCTACGCTCCAGGCCCATCGCTGCCCACACGTGGCCACGGGCCTTGTGGGAAGCCATCCGTGCTGGGGAATGGAGCAAGGGAGGGGAATCCTCAGACCCCGTCTCCCGCCACTGCCAGCTTTTTTCCCGCAGGCCCCTGACCGGGCAGGGGGAGCCGCCCGTGTACCTCCCCAGCACGGCAGCTGGACCCGTGAAACAAACAGGCAACAGGCAGGCCGACGGGAGACACAGTGCACATGTTTATTCCACACGCGAGAGCGTCACACGGAAGAGTGGGCACCGCAGGGAGTGGGTCTGGGAGCCCACATGCATCTCCGTGGGGGAACACAGGGACAGGGAGCAGCTGTCAGAAAGGAGGGGGCCCTGGACACGCAGGCGGGGCCTCCAGGAGCCTGTCTGGGGAGAGCCCACACTCCCGGCCGGTCACCCCCGAGTTCTTTCGGGAGTTCAGAGAGCGCCTCTCCCTGCGTTCGCTGTCTTTCAAGCAACTTCAATTCAAAATAATCAATTTACCAAAGTGGCAGCTTGGGGGCGGCCCGCCCTGACCTCCCGCCTTCGTGGGGACACAGCCTGTCACTCTGTGCAGGGTCTAGTGGCTCCTGGGTGTCTGCCCACGCCACAGGGTCTGTGTGGCAGAACAGGGAGACAGCAGCCTGGCTCGGCCCAGGAGGCCTGGGACCACCTCCCACCGTCCCACCCAGGGCAGAGGTCAAACACTGTGCTGGCATTTGAGGGGGTCCCCAGACGTGGGGAGCTCAGCTGGGACGCCCCACCCAGGAGGCAGCACAGGCAGGAAGTCCCCAAAGGGCAGACGTGACGTGCCCACGGCTGGGGAGGCCATGGCACACAGACTCCCGCCGCCACGGGCCTGAGACAGCGCCAGGCACCAGAGAGAGAGCGTCTTTGCGTCCCAGCAAATGTCGGGGCGCAGCACTGAGGGGCTGGCAGGGACCCTGGCTCTCTGTGGGGACAGGGACGCACACGTGTGTGAGCATAGCACACGGCCTTAGCAGATAAGCCTCACGCAGGGACACACCGGGCCTCCCCCTCACAAACATAGCGCTTGGGTGGGGCTGACGCTGGGCAGGGGACGGGACCCTCCTCGTCAGCAGGGACAAGACACAGAACAGCAACGGCTCACAAACGAGGGCTCCTGGTGGGAGCTGCAGCCCCACGTGGCGTCGGCGCAGGTGCCGGGACAGGCGTGAGCCCTGGTGCCCCCCCCCAGTTGCCGGCAGGGCCTGTTTCCTGCCCGCCCCAGCCTCTCCCCGCCATAGAAGAGGGAAGGAGGGTGCAGATTTCCAGAATGTTCTCCTGGATTCTCCAGGAGGTTGGCCACAGACGAAGGACTGCTACAGGCTACCTTTAAAAAAAAAACAATACTAAAGGGATATTTTCCAACCTACGCCTCTGTGTCAGGGTGCGTAGGGGGGCGGTTTCTCTCCTGGGAGGAAAGAGGCCGGTGCGTAGCGAGGCGGAGGCCCGGAGCTGGAGGCCGGCGGGGCGGGCGGCGGCGCATCCTCACACAGGAAGCTGCCACAGGGCTGCAACAGACAGAGAGGGTCCCAGTCAGCGCGTGGGACCTGCCATGCCGTCCACGTGGGGCTCCGCCCAGGTCCTGTAGGGCCCAGGGCTCTCCAGAGAGAACCGCCCGGCCCAGGTGAGGCTGGGAGAGAGGGGCCACGGCTTGGCGTCTAAGGCACGTGGTAGACCCCCAGGAAGAGTCCACTCGGCACATCCAGGGCTCCGGGACCCCTCAGGCCGCCGGCCTTTTGTCTGACTCTAACTCCAACATGGGCAACTGGGAGCTGGGGCCCAGGGCTCACTCCACACTTCGTATTTTAGGGAAAAAAAAAAAAAAAACAACAACCCCAAAGCATGGACATTTGCAGCACAGAGCAACGGTTTACTATGTGTCCTGGGCCACGGCACTGACCAGGCACGTGGACAAATGCCAGTTGCTGTGTGGCTGTGAAGGCACTTTTTTTTTTTTTTAAACAGAATCTCACTCTGTCACCCGAGCTAGACAGTGCCGTGGTGTCAGCCTAGGTCACAGCAACCTCAAACTCCTGGGCTCAAGCGATCCAAGTAGCTGGGATTACAAGCATGTGCCAGCATGCCCAGCTAATTTTTCCTATATATTTTTAGTTGGCCAATTAATTTCTATTTTTAGTAGAGATGGGGTCTTGCTCTTGCTCAGGCTGGTCTCGAACTCCTGAGCTCAAGTGATCCCCTCACTTCGGCCTCCCAGAGTGCTAGGATTACAGGCGTGAGCCACTGCACCCGGCCTCAAGGTGCCTTTCAAATGAGATTGACATTAAAACCCGCCAGCTCTGACAGAAGCAGGTGACCCTCCCTAAGGGGGGCTCATGGCCCACTGAAGGCCTTGAGAGAAAAAGACCAAGGAGCCTGCGGAGGAGGGACCCCCAACTACCGCCCCACACCTGTGGCCAGCCCAGCTCTGAGGGTTCTGGACCTGCAACCCCCAGACTCGCCCCAGCCACGGCCTCTCTGCTCACACGTATGTGCACACGCACCCCTGACGGGTCTGTCCTCCGAGAACCCGACTGGCACAGAGACCCGCTCGAGCGGTCCTGAGACGAGAAGCATGCTGGGAAATGGTACGATTTTCAAATCAATGAAAATTCCAGTCTTCCATCTGCCAACAAAACTTTCAGTTTTTTCTTTATTCCCCTGAAGTTCTATGGGACAAAAAAATCCCTTCTGAAAATCAGCATTTAAATAAATAAACAGAAAAACTCCTTCTTCACGTAACTCAGGACGAGTTTTTTAAACTCTGATCTACCAGCTGTGATCTGCCATGACGCTGAGCGGTCGGCCTGCCTGTCCACACCTCTCGCTGGACGCAGCCCCAGCACAAGGCCCAGGAGCCAGCAGGAGTGTCCTCACCACCACCGTGCTCGGCAGGGACTGCGGCTGGGCCCTGGCCAGCCTCCGTCTGCTTCTCACTCAGTCGTACACGTCCTTCTGGCCCCAGGGCACAAAGGAGCCCTGGAGAACATTCCAGAGAACATTCTTTGCCGGGGGCTCTCAGCTGAACCCGTGTAGTGTCCTGGTGTTCCTCACTGTCTACACGGAGCCAAGCAAACCACAGAGTGAACCCACAGGAACCAGGAAGTAAACCCACCGGAACCATGGAATTAGTGACCCCCAGGAACCATGGAATTAGTGACCCCCAGGAACCACGGAATTAACCCACAGGAACTGGGGAGTGACCCACAGGAACCACGGAGTGAACCCACAGGAACCAGGAAGTGACCCCCAGGAACCATGGAATTAACCCATAGGAACCAGGCAGTGACCCCCAGGAATCAGGGAGTGAACCCCCAAGAACCACGGAGGGAAGGGCCAGGAAATTTCTCAGTAACAGGACAGAAGCTAAACCTATGCCACGTCCTTGCTGACGAGCCCACCGACGCCCAAGACGCCTGCATCTGGTGCCGGCAAACGGCTCAGGCAGTGCACACGGACCACTGGGATCTTCCTTTCCACTAACTGCTCAAGACAGCCCCCAGCCCCCAGCGTCTGCTATGTGAGAGCATATTTTGCTGCCAACGACCTCAACAGAAACTTGAAGTATTTCCTGGGTGGACAGAATGGCATCTCTCCTGTTCTCGTAAAGAGACACACGCAGCACCTCATCCGACGGCCTTCCCTGTGGGACCAGTCATTAGTGCACTTGCAGCGACATGCTGGCACACAGAGCCGGCCTGGCCACGGTGGGGGCGGGGGCGCCGGGCCTCCCCGGAAGGAAGAGGGGAGCGTCTGCTCCTTGTGAAAAGCCAGAGCCCTCAAGGTGGAAGAGGAGACGGCAAACGCCCTCAGGGACACACAGACCCAGCTGTGTCCCACAGTCTGGGTGTCATGGCGACGGTGGGCCCCCACCTGCCCACCAGGGGGCTCTACCTCCTGCCCTGCAGCACTGGCAGGTGCAGAGCACGCCATGCCAGCACACAGGGCGGGTGCACACTCCAGCTGGCCCGCCCCGTGTCCTCAGCCAGCACAAGGTCCTGGCAACTGGCCGGAGGGAGGGGCTGATGCAGTCATGCAGGCTGCACTCCTGGTCCCAGGTCCCTGGCGTCCCTACGATCCCAAGTTGGTGTCTGTCCAATGGCGGCCAGACCCCAGGGGAGCGCCCACCCAGCCCCACACCCCTGCAGACAGTCCTGCCAGGTGAGTCCTGAGCTCTGGGCTTCACCAACATCCCTCAGAAGATGGAGAGACCAGAGCAGAGGACCCTGGACAAGGTAGCTGCCCAGTGGCACCCTCTCTCCTGCTGCTGTCCCTGGGGTGGGACTGGGAGATGGAGGCTGTGGGGCTCAGTGGCTTGTCCCACAGCACCTGACGCGCCTGCCCTTGGAGCGGCCACCACGGGTCACCTAGGAACAGCTCCTTCCCAAGTCACAGCAGCGGAAAAGGCCACAGCACCCAGGATGAGGGGCCTCACCTTCCCGGGGTGGGAGACCCCACAGGGACCGGGCCGCCCCCTGCGAGTCACTCCACAAGACCAGACGGCCCCCACCTCACACAGGGCCTCTCCGCTGGGAATGCAGGGCGTGGCACAGCCCTGGGAGCATGGCCCAGGGAGCACAGCCAGGGGAGCACAGACCCTGGGGAGCATGGCCCCCAGGGAGCACAGCCCCAGGAGAGCACAGTCCCCAGGGACCACAGCCCGGGGGGCACGGCCAGCAGAGCACGGTGCAGGGAGCACATCCCATAGGGAGCACAGAGCGGGGAGCACAACGTGGGGAACACGGCCAGGAGAGCAGAGCCCCCAGGGAGCATGGCCAGGGGATCACAGCCAGGGAAGCAGAGTCCCCGGGGAGCATGGCCAAGGGGGCATGGCCAGGGGAACAGAGCCCCCAGGGAGCACAGCCAAGGGAGCATGACCAGGGGAGCAAAGCCCTCAGGGGTCAAAGCCCTTGGGGAGCACAGCCAGGGGAGCACAGCCCCAGCTTTACATTAAGGTGAGAGGAGGACGCTGGGGCAGAGAGAGAAAGGCTGCCCTCCACAGGGTGATGCCATACCAGGGCTTCTGGCCACCCCCACCGAGGCCATGCCGGCCACTTCATCCACGCCCACACCCCACAGGTCTGGGGGCTGCCCCCCACCTTGAGCTGGCGGGTCCCTTCTCCCTCTAGGACATCCCTGGCACAGGCTCCCACTCCAGCGGTGAGCTGAGACCCTGCTCGAGCCTGGCCACTCAGGGTGGGGCTGACACGAGGGCGGGGTGCGAACCCATCCCAGGCAGCCACTGTTCTGGGTCCGGCCTTGCTTCCCGCTGGCACTGTCTGCCAGGAGCTTGTCCCCTGCAGACACTACAGACATGCGGCTTCAACACAAACGACCCCCACATTTGCCCTGCTGCCCTGGTGCAGAGAGCATCACACACACGTGTGAGGGTCACGAACCCCACAGCCAGCCCGGCACATACCACCCGGGGACGCTGCCGTCACTGCAGAATCCACTGGTCACCCCGGCCTCACGGGCAAGTGCCCCGCCTGGAAGGGAGGCCAGGCCTGTGAGGACCAGGGGCTCCTGGCTCTGCCCAGGGCGCTGGGCGCGGCTGGAGCGGTCCTGTCCCACAGCTGGTGTGTTCCTGCCCATGGTGCGCAGAGACCACACAGCTCCCACTGTGCCCAGCACCCACAGAGTGCAGCAAGCGCGCAGGGCCGAGGTGGGAAGCGCCGACGGGGCCCTTAGCACCGCAGGATGGCCAGGGTCTGTCCCCGGGCCACACCCTGCGGCTCCCTGCACACAGAGAGGCCGCTGAGCCAGGCGTGGAAGCTGGGGCTGAGCCAAGGCTCCTGCAGAGATGGGGGCCCCTTCCCTGAATGTCCTCCCAGACCCACAGCATCAGACATGGGGAACCCTTAAAAAGCCACCGTTTTTTTGTGAGTTTGGCTGGGTCCTGGCAAATCCACCTGAGTGACCACTGTGCTCACAGACACGAGGCCATGTGGCAGGCAGGGCCAGCTCACTCTCACAGGAAGTGGCCCAGAACTGGGGGCACCGTGGAGCAGGCGTAGGAGGAGAGAAGACCCTCGGATGCCAGCCATCCCTGTTGTCATCCCCGACGGCCCCACCAGGCTGGCTCTGCCCCCCACTCCCTAACCCAGAGGACCGGCCCGGCCCGGCCCATGGGACCCCACCAGGTGACCCAGGCCCTACCTGCAGGGGCAGAGGGTAGGAAGAGCAGGTCGGGACGGTGGCAGGCGGCCGGCAGAATCCCGCGTAGGCCAGGACCTGCTGTGCGGGGCTGTACAGGATCTGCGGTGGGGCGGACGGGCCGAGGGCCAGCCGGGACAGGGGCACCTGCCGCAGGAGACAGACAGGTGGGTGGTTGGCATGGCAACCCTCCCGCCCATGAGCCCCGCCCTGCTCTGGGGAGCCCCGTCCTCCAGCCAGGGAAGGGGAGTGGGACGCTGCTGTCACCGAGACCACCTGTCCCTGAGCCCCTCAGGCAGCCAGTCGCACTGAGTGACACTGGCTTGGGCTCTTTGGTGCGTTTTGGGGAAAGAATCAAGAAAATTGCTCTCGGAGCTGGTCGGGCTGCACGGCTCGGGGGGGTCCCCCCAAACTCACAGCCTTGGGGGGCACAGGGACCCCTGGGGGAGGCAGGGGAGACCGAGGGCTGCCGAACGCCTCACGGGTCCCACTCGGGTGGTTATAGTTCTCAGGATATGGAGTGCGGCTCTGGCTCAGGCCACCACCACCCTACTCGGAGGGGCCGAGGGCTCCCCGAACAAAGGCATGGGGGTCTGCATGGTGGGGCGCAGGGGCTGGCCTCCCCCGAACCCCCACCTCTAGCACTGCCTGCGCTGGGTCGGGGAGGGTGAAGGGGGCTGAGCCGGTGCAGTCCTGAGGATTGGGGGCCAGACCCCACCCCCTGGATGCAGAGCCAGCCCCTAGGGACCCTTCTGGAGACCTCGGACCCAAGGGTGGGGGCAGGGGTGCGGGGCCTCTCGCAGCTTCACCGTTCCCCTCTGGGAGCGAAAACGCCCGAAGACCAAGAGGCCGCATGGTGCATCTTGGGAGAGGCCCAGACCACGCCGCTAAAAACCGCCAGCGACCACAGTTGCCACGAGAAATCACCCAGGGGGGGTCTCAGCTGCCACGTCCATCTGCCATGGCTGTGAGCCGACACTGGCCCTCGGTGAGGGCCCCGGCTGGGGGCCGTGACCTGCACTCCCGGGGTCCACCCCCCACGTCCCGCTGCCCCTATGCTGACATCAGCTCAGGGCACCACTCACCACGTCCTTGAAGGCCCCCAGGATGGCGGCCGTGACGATGCCCAGAAGCAGCCCCAGCACGTTCAGTGCCGCGGAGGCCCAGAGCAGCCGGTAGAGGTGGACCACATCCTGGCAGCTGCGCACACCAACAAACTCGTAGTAGGTGGGCGAGGGCTCCGCGCTGTGCAGCGAGGACATCGGCGTCACCAGCCCCGCCTGTGGGAGCTGCAGCCCGCCGACCTCCCCTCGCTTGCCAAGCCAGGGCCAGCCGCCCCCACGCCCCGCGCCGTGCAGGGTGGGGAAGGGTCAGCGCTGGGCCCAGCAGGCCCCTCCCGGGGAGGCTCAGTGCACAGAGGCCCTGAGGGCCGGGGGCCGGGGCAGGACCATGGCACAAACTCCCCTGGGGAGTCTGGGCGCCCAGGTCCCCTGGGTCATCGGGGCGAAGGGGGATGGGCCACGAGGTCTCCAGGAAGTGACGCCAGCTGAGTCCTTGGTGCAGGCAAGGCACAGAAGCCAGCCCCACCCAGACCTGAGCCTCGGGGCCCAGCCGCCCCGGCAGGGACGCTCACGGGCTCATCTCCACCCTCATGGGAATCGAGGACACCTCACGCTGCAGCCTGGTCCTCAAGGACCCACTGTGCGCGCTGCCCTCCCCCCAGCCCCCACTGACTTGGGATGGGAGATGCCTCTTCCTGGGGAAGGGGGTGCCCGTAGCTCAACCCCGGGAGGGCCCCGGGAGAGCCAGCGCTAAACCTCCCGCTGGCCGTGCAGGTAGGTGATCAAGCTGTCAACACAACTTTAAAAGACGACAGGCCTGATTTCATCTTACACGGGCAGAACAGTCGTCCTGGCTACTTGGGCAACAGGCAGAGTGCGACCCTGGTCTGACACTGCGCATGGGCAGAGCCAGGCGCCAGGCACAGAGGGGCAAAGGCCCCCAGCCCCTGCCTGCCCATTAGGAGGGGGCACAGGGCGGTGTCCAATCGGACTGGGTTCAGGAGGCTGCTGCGGGGGGGGCTGCACCCCTGCCCAAAGCCCACCACCCCAGGGGGCTGCCCCTGCCCGATGCACACCCCAGGCTTGGCCGAAGCCCACCCACCCCAGGGGCTGCCGCTGCCCCGAAGCCCCACCAGCCCCAGGGGGCTGCCCCTGGCCAAAGCCCACCACCCAAGGGGGCTGCCGCTGCCCGAGACCACCACCAGGGGTCTGCCCTGCCCGAACCACCACCCCCAGGGGCTGCCCGCTGCCGAACCCACCACCCCAGGGGGGCCCGCTGCCCGAAGCCCACCACTCCAGGGGCCTGCCCTGCCAAAGCCCACCACCCCCAGGGCTGTCCTGCCCGAAGCCCACCACCCCAGGGGGCTGCCGCTGCCCGAAGCCCACCACCCCAGGGGGCTGCCCCTGCCCGAAGCCCACCACCCCAGGGGCTGTCCCTGCCCGAAGCCCACCACCCCAGGGGGCTGCCGCTGCCCAAGCCCACACCGCCAGGGGGCGCCCCTGCCCGAAGCAACCACCCCAGGGGCTGTCCCTGCCCGAGCCACCACCCCAGGGGGCTGCCCGCTGCCCAGAGCCCACCACCCCAGGGGGCTGCCGCTGCCCGAAGCCCACCACCCCAGGGGGCTGCCGCTGCCCGAAGCCCACCACCCCAGGGGGCTGCCGCTGCCCGAAGCCCACCCACCCACAGGTGCTGCACCCTGCCCAAGCCACCCACCCCTAGGGGGCTGCCCCTGCCCGAACCCCACCCACCCCAGGGGCTGTCCCCTGCCCGAAGCCCCACCCAGGGGCTGCCGCTGCCCGAAGCCCACCACCCAGGGGGCTGCCCCTGCCCGAAGCCCACCACCCCAGGGGGCTGCCCCTGCCCGAAGCCCACCACCCCAGGGCGCTGCCCCTGCCCGAAGCCACCACTCGCCCAGGGGCTGCCGCTGCCCGAAGCCACCACTCCCCAGGGGCTGCCCCTGCCCCGAAGCCCACCACCCCCAGGGGGCTCACCCCTGCCCGAAGCACACCAACCCCAGGGGCTCCCCTGCCCGAGCCCACCACCCCAGGGGGCTGCCCCTGCCGAAGCCCACCACCCCAGGGGCTGGCCGCTGCCCGAAGCCCACCACCCCAGGGGGCTGCCCCTGGCCAAAGCCCACCAGCCCAGTGGGGCTGGCCCCTTGCAACGAAGCCCGACCACCAGGGGGCCTGCGCTGCCGAAGCCCACCACCCCAGGGGGCTGCCGCTGCCCGAAGCCCACCACCCCAGGGGGCTGCCCTGGCCAAAGCCCACCACCCCAGGGGGCTGCCCTGCCCGAAGCCCACCACCCCAGGGGTCTGCCCCTGGCCAAAGCCCACCACCCCAGGGGCTGCCATGGAGATGTGCAAAGCATTTCCAGCAGCAGCGTGAGTGCTGCGGGCCCTCCCTCAGCATGGTGAGGGGAATGTGGAAGTGAGGGAACGGGCACACCGCAGGCTGGCCGGGGCGGGAAGGGGGGGCTGGCAAACGGCACGACATTGGGGAAGCAGTAGGCCCTGTGTACGCCTGGCCCTGAAGAACCCTCACCTCTCACAGGTGTACAGATCACAGCAGTAGCAGGTGTTGCTTCTCACCTTCAGCTGGCACCTGCTGTTCCAGGAGTGGCAGGTGACCTGGGAGGACAGAGAGACCCAGTCAGGCCGTTTCCAGAACAGGGCTGCCTCGTTGAGGGGAGGGGGAGCAGAGGTGGGGGAGCAGGACTCCTCCCTATAGGAGCTGGACTCGGCCACGTGGGGTTGGGGGACGCAGGCTCCCTCAGAAGGCCTGATAAACGGAGCTCAGCAGGAGACAGGGGGGACTCCACTTCTCCCTTGATCCCAAAGGAGGGAGGGGGGACCGCCTCCACCAGGGACAAGGACACAGGTGCGGGCAGGAAGGGCCCACAGGTGGTACAAAGTGGTTCTAATTATGAGAAGAAGCCATGATTTCCTGCGCCGGGCAAGGGGCTTATGCCTGTAATCCTAGCCTCTCCTGGGAGCCGAGGCAGGAGGATCACTCAAGGTCAGGAGTTCAAAACCAGCCCTGTAGCGAAGACAAAAAACCCCATCTCTACTAAAAATAGTAAGAAATTAATTGGCCAACTAAAAATATATAGAAAAAATTAGCCGGACATGGTGGTGCATGCCTGTAGTCCCAGCTACTCCGAGGCTGAGGCAGGAGGGAATCACTTTGGGCCCAGGAGTTTTGAGGTTGCTGTGAGCTAGGCTGACGCCACGGCTCTCACTCTAGCCTGGGCAACAAGGCGAGACTCTGTCTCAAAAAAAAAAATGCTAATTGGAAAAGCCACACAGAACTGGACAAATCAATTCCAAGATTGTTCTGTGTCAATGAAGCCAGCCTGCAGCTGCAACTCCAAAGTCAACTCGGTATGTTAAAATGACACAGCATTTGCAGAAACGAACTGAGTTGTGTCACCACCCCCAACTGTGAGTGTCACCACTCCCCAACAGGAGGAACTGTTAGCATCAAAACATCCGGATGTCGACCAGGGACACAGAAAGCCTTATGGGGCAGGTGTAAACACCAAATGCATCAAACGGCTTCATTCACCTCTGTCTGGTAGACGTCATACACGTATCCAACCCCACTGGAGTAAAACTGGCACCTTCCTGCGGTAAGGGGCCGCAGCTCCTAGAGAAATGGACACACACGGATGGAAGGGAAGAGTCGGCTCCAGCCAGGAGTGGCCAGGGGGACTCTGGGCTGCCTGCGCCAGGCTCGAGCCTCCCGCCAGAGAAGGCAAGCACAAGACCACACAGCTCCTCCTAGGGCACTGGCTCCCGTGTCTGATGCGCAGGGAGGGGCACCCTCAGTCCCCGCAGGCTGGGCCAACACTCTACTCCATCCACCACCAGAGAAGAGCAGAAGGGGGGTGCCTGTGGACCTTCTGAGGGGTACCCTACAAGTCCACAGCACAGCCACCGGGGCTCCTCCTCCTTTCCTAAAAGAAAATGTTTTTTTCCTATTAAGAAGATAGTGAGAAGGATTTCAAACTGCCAGATGCATCCATCCAACCAGCCAATCATCCACCCACCCACCCATCCATCTAATTGTTCAATCATCTATGCATCCATCCATCCCTCCTTCCAATTATCCCCATCAACCCATCTGTCATCCATCCCTCCATCCATCCATCCATCATCCATCCTTCCATCCATCTGTCCTTCCTTCCATTCATACACCATCCACTCATCCTTCCATCATCCGTCTAGCCAACCATGTGACCACACACCCATCAGTGGCCCCATCCAACTCTCCATCCATCCATCCGTCCGCAACATTCATGGAGCAGACAGCTCTGAAGTTATTAATATGGGCAGAACAAATTAGACAATTGTTGCTCTTAGGGGATGGACTTACAGATCAGTGAAGGAGACAGACCAATAAACTGACAATCACGAGTACATGTAATTGCTATAGCAGAGAACAGCAAGACACACAAACCGCAAAATGCCGCGAACTGCACAGTCTGCAAATGAATCAGGTTCCCAATATCCACACTTAGTTTTATTTTCGTGCCACATGTTTCTCAAAGCGCTCCTCCTTCTGATTTGTGAAAGGAGTGTAAAAAAGGGAAGCTTTTCTAACCCGAGCAGGCGAGGGGGAACACAGAACGAGTACTCACAATGTGCCGTGCCGCAAACACACCGTCCACGATGGCACAGCAGAACGCCGCCACCACGCCAAAGCTGATGAACACGATGGCCGCCACCAGCTGCAACAAAGCAGAGGCACGGGTTCCCCAGCTGTGACAATCACGTATGCCACGTGCAGACCCGTTCCAAGTCCCAGCCTGACGTCGGGCATTCTTGGGCAGGACCGTCGTGCTTTCCCCTCCCCCGCCCGGATCCTGCCTGTGAGCCGTGTCCCCGTGGGCTTTGCACACAAGATGCGCAGACACCTGCTGCACGGGTGTGGTCGGTCCCCAGCTCCCTCTCACCACATAGGCTGTGTGTGCAGCAGCAGCACCTGGGCCCACTCATACACCATGCACACACACACACACACACACACACGCGCGTGTGCTTGCCACAGATCGCCTTTGTAAAGTAACCGGACCCATTCTACACACGGTCGCAAAACCTGATTTTGGAGTTTGGAGCCAGGAAGAGTCGATCATGGATATTTCACCCATGTTTACAATGCATATTTAACCAGTCTCGGGCGGGCGCAGTGGCGGGCTAGGCTACGCCTGTAAGCCTAGCACTCTGGGACGCTGAGGCAGGTGGATCGCTCAAGGTCAGGAGTTCAAGACCAGCCTAAGCAAGAGACCCTGTCTCCACTAAAAATACAAAGAAATTGGCCAACTAAAAATATAAAAACAATTAGCTGGCGTGCGGTGACACATGCCTGTAGTCCCAGCTTACCCTCCGGAGCCTGAGGCAAAGGTTGCTTGAGCCCAGGAGTCTGAGGTTGCTGTGAGCTAGGCTGATGCCAGGGCACTCTAGCCCAGGTAACAGAGTAAGACTCTGTCTCAAAAAAAACAAAAAAAAAAAACAAACAAAAAAAACTAAGAATGTCTAACTAAAAAATCCTATTAATCTAATAAATGAGTTCAACAGGGTCACAAGATACAACAATCAACTGTATTTCTGAGGGCTTGCAATGAACAATCCATAAATTAAGAAAACAGTTTCACTTGCAATAGCCTCAAGAAAAATAAAATGCTTAGGAATAAACTTAACAAAACAAGTGTAAAACTTATACTTCAAAAACTACAAAACATTTTGGAAAAAAAGGAAAGGCCGCCTGAACCAGTGGAGACGTTCCGTGCTCATAGGTCAGGAGAACTGATGGGTTTGTTGAGACGGTGACGCTGCCCGGGCTGAGCTTCAGGTGACGTCCCTACTGGAGTCCCAGCTGGTCCCTCT